GTTTTAACTCCTTTTCATTGTACATAAATTGCACAAACAATTCCTTGAGAAAATTCACCTTCATTGAACTGGGAAACCTGGCAGTATACGGCCCACATGCAAATTGTGGAACGTTTGTCTTTCCATAAAAATTATTGTACCATGATTTGTTTGGCACACAGACAGGTATGAAATATTATAATATTAATATACAAACAACTTCCGGCGAGGGAAGAGCGGCTAATCAACNACCAGATACAATCTGGTGCTTTAAAAACTGAAAAACCAAGGGGTGATGGTGGGAAACAAGCACATGACCTTCCGGAAGATGTGATGGTGACTACTATCAAGCGCTCTATCACATGTTGATCTTATGGTCTTGATCGATGAAAGTGCTAAAGCTATATATATATATATATATATATATATATATATATATATATATATATATATATATATATATAATATATTAACACCAATATATATATATATATATATATATATATATATATATATATATATATATATATATATATATCTTTAACACCGGCCTGTAGTCAAGTATGGTGCTAACGTTACAACAATAATAACAATAACAATAATAGGTGATAGGTGGATTGGGGTACAAAACAGAGTGGAAAGAGGGTGAAACAGTTAAACACGGGAAAATGGAAGATAACCGGGGTAACAAATTTTTTGTGTATTTCACCGTACACTTTGATTTTTTTGTTTGTTGTTATTTTTACGGGGCACGGGATTTCTACGGGCAGACCATACAGCATTCGCGCCACTGACTTCTATTCTGGGCTATATCTCTCAACGTCTCTAACTAACGACAATCCTCATCCCTTGGGCCCCAACCTGGAAAGCGGGCTGCACCAACCGAAGCCAAAGCTGAGGCCAGCTTCTCCATGCCTCTACGCCATGCCACGGTCTGACCGCCACGCCGCTTCTTCCAACCCTGTCCGGAATGTGCGAAGATAGCACGGAAAGGTAGTCGATGTGCAGGTACACGCAATACGTGATCAAGGCAGACCCAAGTAATTGGGAAACCGCACATGTTGAGTATTTTTTTTGAAATTTCGGCTATTTTATCTGAAAATGAATTAATAAAGGATTGCTATGAAAATTCAGAAATCCAGTATGTTTTATTTCGTTTACTGTGTTATCATATTCACACTGTTTACAGTTGCAGACTACTACGGTTACATCGGAAAACATGAACTATGCTCCGTACGATGTGAACACAAATCCAGATTTTGTCACCATTCTTCCATCTTCTGAAGAAATAGCAATGCAGGTCGCCTCGAATGCGACTGGCGACAGCTCAACGGTTATCAATTATCTCAATGATTCGAGGACAAACAATATGGGTCCAGTAGAATCATATGGAAATAAAGAACTAGAATTATTACAATATTCTGAGCCCTTAGATCCCTCTTTCGGAGCACAACTTCATTGCGTGCCACAATCGGAAAAATTTGTTGCCCCTGAAAATTCCAGCATGAATGCGTTGGGAGTGATGACTGTTGTTCCCTATCAAGTGGATCCTTCAATCGCTCCAAACTTAATGTGTCAACCAATCATGAAGCTCATGAGTGGAACACAAGACGAAAATGCTCCAAATAACTCTGGTTCCACGGAACAGTATTTCTCTACTCAGGTAACTGTTGAGTTTCGTTAATTATTCTACGATGGTCGAAGTAGATTGATTAGACACATCAAATTTAGTTGCGTGGCTATGTGATGATTGACTTGGGTGCATTTATTGATTGCATAGTTCCGTTCACACATTCACTAATTCCGTAATTTTATGCTTTGTGCTTCTTCATTTCTGGCTATATGTATATATTCATAGATACTAAAATCACCAATTGTGACTTGACGGGTTGAACAACCAAACGATGGAAAGGAAGTGGTCCTAGTGAATAGTTTCTTATTGTTTCCGATGGTTATTTTTTGAACACTGAATCGTGTGATTACCACTTTTAATACACATACGCTTATCATATCCTCACTCCACCTCACAGTTAAAATCATCCGATCCGGAACAGCTCAGTTATCCGCCTAGGCGTGCAGAAGAACCGTATGTGACCCAAATGCGCAGCCCCCGTATGACCCAAATGAATCCCATCCACGGTGTTCTTACACCGAATACATCATCTAATATTATGGCTCATTCCGGAACTATTCCTATTCCACCATCTCAACTCAGTCCTGAAGGTCCAGTTATTCTAACCGTGCCGAGTCATATGAACAATTTTGGTGAATTGAAACTGGGCGATGAGGATGAGGATGAAGAAGCGCAAAACGCGGCGGCTGCGCTTCTGAATGATACTGCATGCGCGCAACAGGCAACCCGATTTACCGAACTGACAGAACCTGCGTGTTTGTCCAGTTCAACTGACCCATTTGTCTATAGAAATTTGAACATATTGGAAGCTAACAGTCCAAGTAATCAGCCAACGATGACTCACTCAGAGAGTATGGTGTTGCGCTCAGGTGGATCCCATCCGACTCAAGTGTCCATGAACCAATTGTCAGTGGTTACTCAGCCAGCATTCCAAGCACCGATACTTGGTGACACGGAAAATTATGATTCACTTCCCTACGCAAGTCAATCGGTTGACGAAAATGCGAACTTTTTGAAACAGGAAATGGATTTTTTTAATTTGTAATAACCTCTTCATCCAATCCCGTATGATACACAAAAAACGGAATGCGTATCCCCAATGTGATATACTCCATCGGCCCCGATTTTCAGGCACGCACCCATGAAACAAATTTTGCTCATAACCCACTAATATCACATGAGTATTACCGCCCCAAAACGCATTTCGATTGTCATTGGTTTTAATGCATTCCCCTAGGTCTCATGCGAAATTGCCCGATCTCAAGCGCCACAGTTGATGCATGTCTCTATTTTCGCTTGCTCATTTTACCATCACCCCTCTTCTGTATCTCCTTGCATGCTAGTTTTTATTGTCCTCCTCTAATCTCCTTTATCCTGTCAATCAATCATTCGGCAACCGGTTTTATCCATTACCCCTATCCAGACACACCTTCACCCTTTCTGGCCGCTTCTGCATCCGTCTAATCAATTTTGGTTATTGTTTGTTTTATTTATTTTTTATACAAGTTCCATA